CTTCCGGTCAATACATTAAAAAAACGAATACACGATTTGGTTATTTTATGATATATATGTATACAGTGTTCCAACTAGCTAGTGTCTGGATAAAGTAATATATATATATATATATATAGCCGTACAATTGGAACTAATCGTATAGTATTTATATATACATATATAGCAAAGCTACTGAGACTATCTTTCGACGAGAAAATATACAATCAGCAGTACCCTATCGCCCACCACCCACACTGATTGCGGGCAATATTTTGTGGTGTCGCAAGGATTCAGATCCAGCTCGCTAGCTCCGAAATCCATAATTATACCAAAGGGCCAACCTGCGCCACAATTGTACAAAACGTAAAGAAATTAGTGGGTTTTTAACCATTCATAAAAACAAAAACACTGAAACTGCATTTCAACGATAATTTAGTATTAGAGCTTACGAACAATACAGCTGTTGTACTCATCGTTTCACTTCTTTCATTAGAATATAAGTTTTCCAACACATCCTACATCATTTGTGTCAAGAGTTTTTGAACATCCATTTTGCAAAGCAATTTACTTATAGAACACCTGTTTTCAAAGCTAAACTTGTCAATATACCAATATAGACTGGGAGAATATCTGCTTACTCTAATCTTAGATACACGTATAAGGTTCGAAAGAGTTATGTTTTCACTAAATGAAAACGTTGTAGATGGAATCACGATGGGGGTACCTGTTGAAGTTAAAGCGATCATAAAGAGAGGTTCTCTAAAATCGTTGGAATCCAATCAAAAGAGGACAAAAAAGAAATGCGAAGCAGAAGGAATAGGAAGGCTAAGATACTTTGCTTGTTTTTTCATTGTAACCACTTTCATTATTTTAGATCTTTACTGATTGATTGACAGACTTAGGTATGACTGGTCAGACCTCGACCGACAGAAGTCATAGAAAAAAAAAGTTGAAGAACATTTATTATTTCTTCTACTCAGAGATCAGAGAGTCTAAGATGTAAACTTGCTCTGGAAAGACTTTTCATAAACACCAAAACAGCATTTTGCGAATTTCATCGTGTGTTTTTTCAGGCCAGAGATCGAACCGTACACTAATGCTAAGTTTTATATGAGAAATTGGTCTAGCCAATTTTCACTCATGCAAATCTGCTACCAAAACAACTTATGTACGGTTTTAGGGTTAAATAATAAAATCAATAATGGTTGGAGATGTCTTGAATGGGTAATGAAGAAAAACTTTAATATAAGTTGAACATAACAGCAAATGTACAACGTTTCGAC